GAGATTGAGAGTTATCGGAGAGTTTTTGTGTTCTTCTACGGCGGGTCTTTCAGAACTTAGCTCCGCCCGCATGGACAGTTTTCACGAGCTTGTTATTCGTATCGTCCACTGTATTGCAATCTTCCAGGCACTAAAAACGGTTTTGTAACTCGAGCTGAAAGGTGGTTCAGGACTTGGGATTAGAGCACGAGGAGGACGGAGCGTTGACTTCATTAGACGAGACCTCTCCAACTTAACGTTTAGGTTCAGTGTGCTCTAACCATCATCATTCTCTAAACCATTTCCCATTATCTGGGGTCGGCGCAGTAAATCTTTTTGTTCCATTCCTCTCTATCAGCCGTCATTTCCATACTTACTCCTTTCATTCTCATATCACTCTTCACACAATCGATCCATCTTTTATTCGGCCTTCCTCTGCCCGTGTGTCCCTCCACATTCATATTCAACACTCGTTTTGTGACATGACTTTCATTCCTCCGCATCACATGCCCAAACCATGCCAATCTGCTTCCTCTCACCTTTTCTACCACTGGCGCTACTTTCAGGCTTCCTCTTATATACTCATTCCTTATCTTATCCATCCTTGTCACACCACACATCCATCGTAACATTCTCATTTCATTCGCATGCAGTCTATTTTCATCCTTCTTCTTGACGGCCCAGCATTCACTTCCATACATGACGACAGGTCGGATGATCGATTTGTAAATTTTCCCCTTCAGCCTTATTGGCATTCGGGGATCGCACGTTGTGGCTGTGACCTGTCGCCATTTCATCCACCCTGCGTTAATCCTATGCTGCACAGCTCTATCTATTCCGCCGTCGCCTTGAATGAGGGAACCGAGGTACTTGACATCTGAGCAGATAGGCAGTATAGCGCCATCCAACGACATGGGTACAGGACTGGAAAGACCGCCGAAATCACAGCACAGATATTCGGTTTTGGATCTGCTGATCTTCAAGCCAACACTTTCCAGCCTCCGTTGCCACCCCGTCAGTCTGCTCTGTACCTCGGTGCCTTCTTCCCCGACAAGCACGATGTCATCGGCAAAGAGCATGCACCAGGGTGCCTCATCCTGCAGGTCCGACGTCAAAGCGTCCATAATCAGTAGGAAGAGGTAAGGGCTCAGTGCCGACCCTTGGTGCAGCCCTACCGCCACATCGATACTGCCCGTAGTTCCCGCGGCAGATCGTACACATGTACGGGATGCTCTGTACATAGCACGGACCAACCTCACATACTTCCCAGGCATACCTTTCATCTTCAACGCCCACCACAAGACCTCACGGGGAACCCGATCGTACGCCTTTTCAAGGTCGACAAAAACCATGTGCAGATCTTTATGCACGCGCTTGTACTTTTCGCACAATTGGCGTAATGCGAAAATGGCATCTGTCGTACCTCGACCGGGCATGAATCCGAACTGGTTTTGTGTTATCTCACACTCTTCTCTCATTCTTCTCTCTATTATTCTTTCCCAGACTTTCATCGTATGTGACATGAGCTTTATTCCCCGGTAACTGCTGCAGTTTTGAACGTCTCCTTTGTTTTTAAAAATGGGAACCAGTATACTACTGCACCATTCCTCAGGTATTTGTTCTTCCTGCAACAATTTACCGAAAAATAAACTCAACCACTTCCATCCATCCGCCCTCAGCAACTTCCACACTTCTACTGGTATTCCATCTGGGCCGACCGCCTTCCCATTCTTCATATTCCTAACAGCCATTTTTACTTCTTCCACACTAATTTCTCTCACTAAGCCCATATTCACTGGTGGGTTTTCAAGCATACCATTCCATTCATTCTCCTCATTCATCAATTTCTCAAAATACTCCTTCCATCGCTTCTTTATACTTTCATCGTCAGTCAAAATCCTTCCAGAATCATCTTTTATACATTTTACATGTGAAACATCTCTTCCATTCCTTTCTCTCGCTCTTGCAATTTGAAAAAGTCGTTTTTGACCTTCGGGGCTTTCAAGGGACCGATATAATTTATCGTGCGCCTCTGCCCTACAAATAACAACTTCCTTCTTCGCTCTCTTCTTACATTCTTTATACGCCCCTCTCTTACTTTCTTTTATGGATTCATTCTGGTCTTCTACGCTCTGCCATTCTTTAAAGGCATTTTTCTTTTCTCTCAAAACTTCTCTAATACTTTCACTCCACCACCACCCATTCTTATCTATCATACGCTTCCCTTTTGTTTCTCCTAACACCTTCCTTGCCACACTTCGGATACAATCAGCCATTTCCTTCCAGCACTCATTCATACTCATTCCTTCCATATCACCCATCTCTATCATCTTGTTTACAACTAGCTCTCCAAATTCACTTGCACACCCCTCTTTATGCAACAAATGCCACTTTATTTTGGGTGGGGGACGATCCTTATGTTTGTTGAGGCGAACAGTTAAGCAGATGTCAGCCAGCAGGATTCGGTGCTGGGATACTAAGTCTTCACCTGGAAGCACTTTGCAGTTTTTTACACTCTTGATTTGGTTCAGTCTTATCAGAAGATAGTCGATCTGTGTCGCGTGGTGGCCACTTTTATAAGTAACAAGATGCTGATCTCGTTTTTGGAACCACGTGTTTACTACAGCCAGGTCGAAAACACATGCTGCTTGCAGAAGAACTTCCCCCTCACGGTTCCGCACTCCGTACCCCCATCCACCGTGTACTCTTTCATACCCGTCATTCACTCTCCCTACATGTCCATTAAAATCTCCTCCCATATAAACATCCTCACGCTCAGGTATTCCCATCATCATACAATCAAATTCCTCCCAAAACTTCTCTTTCACACTCTCTTCACAGCCTGTTTGCGGAGCGTACACACTTACAACATTCACTACTTTGTTTTCAGTCATTAATTTAACAACTATCATTCTGTCATTTACTCTTTTCACATCTGTCACTCGTTCTTTCATTCCACTATCTAACACAACTCCTACTCCATTTCGCTTCCCATCACTTCCACAATAATAAAACTTGTATCCCTCCCCAATATCTCTTGCTTTATTGCCCTTCCCTTTTGTTTCCTGCAAACAGGCAACATTCACTCTTCGTCGTTTCAAAACATCTGCTAACTCTCTTCCTCTTCCAGTCATCGTACCTATATTCCAGCTTGCAAACCTCACTCTGACATTCTTCTCTATCCGGGCTCGCCTCTTACGTCGCACCCGCTCCGTAAGGTGCGACAACCCTTGCCCACTTCCCACAGGAGCCGGGTGCTGCCCCTGCGCGTCGCCTGCGGGGTACGCCCTAGCCCTGTCATATGTCCCACAACTCGTACTATTCATTTACTGCATGGGATTTGGCAAAAGTTTTACAGTCGGCCGCCTGCCTGACACCAACCCTCTTTGGGTATGCTATTGCTGGTAGAGGAAGCTACCATTTTGGGAAAAGGAAAAAGAAGTTTGGGGGTAGGAGCATAGGTGTAAGGATACTGTTATCTCGGCAGGAAAGGTATCAGAATAACAGTAGCTCGGGGAGCCGGGGTCGCGTACCCGTATTCCATAACAGGATCCCCGGAAAGGTAGACCAGCATGAAAACCCCCTGACTAAGTGTTTCAGTGTGCTCTAACCATTTGGTCATATATGATAGGTCTTTCAAAAACATTGGGGGTGTTGAACAACATCTTTTCGATTCAGGGGTCCGTTTGTGAAATATTTAGCTTTAAAATGGTATTTTTCATTAGAATCATGCCCCCCCCCCCCCCTACCGACTTAACCGATGTTTATCGAAATGTGAAAAGTTTACCCAATAGTAGTTTATATAATGCAGTTAAAAGGAAACTATCACAGCTAAGTAGAATCTAGAAGTTAACGAGTGATAGTTGACCAACTTATAAAATGCACTTGGATTAGTAAAAATTTCGTTACATTTTCATAGAAAAGACCTACGACTATTTTATAAGGCGCTTCGAATAAAGAGATAATCTATGTTAAAAGTAAATAGATTCAATATAATGTCGAACGAAAGTTCGGGGTTCGTTTCCCCAGTCATGCATAAATTTCATAAAAGTTTGTTTTTAGATTAATTTAAAGTCACGTGTTACATAATAATCAATTATGTCATACGAATAAAAGCGTTCAAACCAAACTTATTTGAACCTGAAGACAATTTATAGCAGTGATAATTGAGAATTCATTTGAAATTCTATGGCGTGTAAAATCTTCAATACAATAACCTTGAGAGCAATAATTAATCGCTGCCACAAGCTCATAGTCCGTCATGTTTGCCTATCCGAAAATCCGGAATATATTAGCACGTTCGCCGAGCGTGTGGATGCCGTGTTTGTGTTGGGTGAATGTGGTCGGTGTTTGTTCGTGTATGGTGTATGTGGCAAACACCAAGCGTGTGGAGGCGGCATTAGATAACGCCTAGCTCAGACTTTACGACGACGAGACGCTCAAATGTTTTATTATAACTAGTGTGAATCGATAGGAAAATATTTACATTTCCGACATAATCGCATAACACAGATTATAAGGACGTGTATTAAGTATTAACAAATATTTTGACAATAGTACCTAATACATTAACTTTTAAATCCTACAGTAATATAGAAAGTTATTTAAAGTCGAGTCCAATTACGATTTATTGTCCTCTACGTTAACGTCATGGAAATTGACGGTTAAATTGAATGTATTGTCAAAGTTAATTTTATTGTCATTTTGGAAGTTCCATACTAATTAATACCTAGTCAGGTCATAAATTCTGTCACATGTTTAATATAAAATAATTGAAACAAGTTTATTCATTATGTAACTATTTATATACCAAAATGAACCTATTAAAACATAGATTCTTATGACACTAAAGTTTATTCAAAATGACCTCCGTGATTTTGAATACAGGCCTTCAATCTGCGCGGCCAGTCGTCTATCGCAGCATGAACGAGGTCCATATCAATATCGGCGGCTGCCTTAATCAAGGATGTCTTGAGTGACTCCAAATTGGGATGAGGCTTTGAGCACGCCTTTTCCTCCAAGTGTTGCCATATCTTGTAATCTAACGGATTCAAATCTGGACTGGAGGAGGGCCAGTCTTCGTGCCGGATGAAGTCGATTTCACGCGCCGCCAGCCAGTCTTGTGTGCTCTTCGCTCTATGAGCTGGCGCCGAATCTTGTTGGAATACCCAGTGCCTGTTATTGAACATGGTATGAGAAACAGGTTCCACAAGGTTCGTCAGGACTGTATTTTGACACACAACTGCATTCGTTTTTACACCTTTCTCACAAAAATGTACCTCTGTTAAGCCCCAATAAGAAACTCCCAACCATACCATGAGCGAGGATGGAAAATGACCTCGTTGGACACGCGGAATACGATGGCTCGCTTCTTCACTACTGTGTGCGTACACCTTATCATTTTGTTTGTTGTAGCTCTCTTCTACGGTAAAAATTTTTTCATCCGAAAAAAGAATTTCCCGATATTTTTTTCCCGCGTACCGCTTCAACAAAGCGCGGCATCTCTTCAGTCTCAGGTCCATTAGACGAGCATTCAAACGATATTCTGTTTTTCTTCGATATGCCCGAAGCCCTAAGTCTTTATTTAACACCCTTTTCACCGTGGTTCTGCTTAACCCCATCTGAAGGGCCAACAGTTTCTGCTTACGTTTGGGATTTCTTTGAATTCGCGCCTTCACAACTTTTATCACTGCTGGAGTCCTAACAGACCGAGGGCGACCACTTCTTGACCTGTCATCTACACTAGAGTCTTCATTGTATCGTTTGATGGTACGATAAACGAATCTTTTGGTTATATTCAAATTTTTCAGTATGTCAAAAATTTGAATAGGTGCGTAACCGCAACGATGCAACGCAATAACTGCAACACGGTCTTCTTTAAGCGTCCACTCCATATTTAAAAATGAGTAAAATTCTAAAAAGTATACAGTTTTATTTTCATGAACAATTCGAAATTCGAATTTAATAAACTTTTTTGTGGCCAGCATTCTAAAAGAAAAGTTTTTACTGTGTGACAATACTTATGACCTGACTAGGTATATGTCCGTCGCCTATCGCTCCGGACTCTAATAGAAGTTTCTAAATCTTATGTCTATAAAAATACAATGCGATTATTCAAAAAGGGTTAAAACATCGCATACCTACAATGAAAACTTCAGCAATTTATGTAAATATAAAAATATTGATAATGCTCAGAAGCTCGCAAGGGTTAAAGAGAGGAATGTTATCAAGCGAAAAGCTTAAAAAAGATATATTTCCGATATGGCTATTTAATACTGATACGAATTAAAGCCTGCGTAGTTGTACATTTAAGAGGATTTCCCTCGGAATTTTCTAGAACATGCTAGAATATAGTCGTTTCGGTGCAACAGAACTGTACCCGCATGGTACAGTTCTATAGACGTAAGGAACGAACACGGGAGTCGGGTAGTCGAAGATCAGGACCGGTGGCAACATTACATCAGAATAGCGCGAGAACTGTGATACCTGACGGCTTCCACTGGGAGGTTTTCTGAAATAAAAAAAAAACATAAACTAGAATTCGGATAGACCAACACCATTCATAAAAATTAAGAAAGTTTTTTTTTTATTTCATACAAAGAACTTCTCTACATTTTATTAAGAAAATATAGTGTAATTTTAATTAATTAATAAAAATCAATTCACAATATCAGTTCTGAATGTTAGCTCTATGCGAAATTTCATTTAGTTCGGTTATCGGAAAATTATTTCAATCTAATAAAATTATTTTTAATTAGTATGATAGATATAATAAATTTCTTTAAAATTAATAAATTATACATTCTGGTTTCTGGTTCGGCGTTTTACTAAGTGTTATAATGTTATAATAATTGATTTTTATTTATCCATAGGTTTAATTATTTGTATTTTTTAATAAGATTAAGGTGCTAAACGAGCACACAGTTCATCTGACGGTAAGTGAATCACCGGTAAGTGAATCACCCGCCTAAGGGTATTAGTGTTCTGTGAAGTGAATGCGGTGGCCCATAGACATCTACATCTATACTCGATTACGAAACAAAATGCAGATGCGTTGTCAGCCGTGAGGAGTAAGATGGACTGCCTCGTTTCCAGTATAAAGAGTATCCGGTTCTTTACACTCACCATACGTTACATATTATGATTACAAAATAAGTCAATCTCATTTTTTGTCGAACTGTCGGGTCTCGACCAGGTCCACTTCCTGTGGGACCGCTTCTGGAAGAAAGAGTTAATCAGAAAGAGTTCCTCTTTCTCCATGGAGTCGATCAGCTGCTGGCCCCTTGGGTTCCGTTGCCCTATTCCAAATTGTTCTACCTTCAGCTCATCGTTCTCCCTTGTGGCTAGTTTTGCGTTGAAGTCTCCCATTAACACCGTATAGTGGGTATTGGAGGAATGAATGACTCTAGATATATCCTCATACATACTCTTGGCGAGCGGGTTGGCAACCGCAGTTTTTTTATTGTTGTTTTGTTGTTATCAGAAAGATGCTGCTGCCCATCTTCTGCCTCAGTTTCTCTCTGTCGCCTCTTACGACACCCACGGGAAGATATGAGGTAATGGGTATTCTTACCCGCCACTACACGGCGATCTAGTATTCTGCGAAGGGTAGGACATTCAGGTGGAAGAACCATCATTTATAAGACAAAGATTAAATTCATTGAATACATCAGTAGCAAATAAGAGAAAGTCATATTTATGGGAACCCCACATAACATGATGGCTGTTAAAGTCTCCCAGAACAATGTAAGGGACTCCCTCCCTGCGTGATAGAATTAAATTGAGTTCTGGAATACAAGAAGGAGTGGGAGCTGGAATGTAAATGGATAGAATTGTAATGTCCAAAGCTTTAACAGCTACTGCATTTATATTGCTTAGTATAAGAAGAAGCGGGATGGGTGATAAAGGAATGGTCCTGTTTAGTAGAATCAGAGCAACGCCATAGCCTATCACTACGATAACATGAGAAGCCTGGGATTCTAAATGTGGACCCTGGATTAAGCTGGCTTAAGATCTCCGATATTGCAAGTATTGAAGGATTATAAGTATTGATTAAGTGGATTATATCAAGTTTTTTATTCCTAATGCTTCGATAATTCCACTGGAGGAGGGTTAGGGATTCGAAATTTATATGTTCTGGAGAAGAGTACATCTAGTTTGTTTTTCACGTTGAACGATAAATGGGAATCATCGAATTTACCAACAATATCTGCAAGGGAGGCCACAAGATTTTCTATATTATCATTAGAGGACATTATATTGTTTTGCAAAGCATGTCCATTAGTGTTGCCCAAAATCGGTCTTGGTCTTGCAGTCTTGGTCTTGTTCTTGCATTTTTGCAAGACCAAGACCAAGAACAAGACCGCCTCTTTTTAGCAAGACCAAGACCAAGACTGACCGTGCAAGATTTGCGCAAGAACAAGACTAAGCTTGCGAGACTCTTGCGTCTTGCAGTTAGGACTAAGTGTCGTTTCAGGGAGTATAGGAGTTCGGGTATACGCTTAGTGACTCTATGAGACGCAAAAAAAAATAATGAGAAAAAAAATGGAAAATTGGACTTATGCGCATTACGAACAATATCATAAACATACATAGCGAATGAAAATATCCATTAAATGAAAAAAGAGTGCATCCCTAGTTTTGACCATCGGCACTTTGATAGTGTGCGGCGTCTTGTTGTCGGCGTCATCAAAGGTCGGATACTGACCTGTCAAAGAAATTGTGCAGCTATTCGAAGGTACAAGGTCAAGATACACGTGCCGGCGTCTACTATTGATATCGCATAATCGTCGCCGCCCCGCCACACGCACTACATTTGACACTGTTTGATTGCCGCCACAGAGTACATGTTTCAAAGAATAAAATAAGTTTCCGGGTGCTCAGAATGGACACGAATACATTATCCTGATCTCGCAAGAAATATTGTAACTAGATAATAGGTAGGTATCATAATAATTTATTCTAGTAAGTAATTATTATATAATTAACTATATGGATTTATAATAATTAGTTACTATTATTAAGTGGCGAAGCTTGCGAAGTCACTTATTGATTTCACGATGTTTGTCCGTCTGTCCGTCTGTCCGTCTGTCCCACGATTATCTCGAGAACGGTTTCGAATTTTCAAATTCTGTTTTCAGCAATCGATTACTGATCACCCAGGCATTTGAACCTCCTATTTTGAAACTGATTGCTCAACGGCAACCGTTAGAAACCGCTACAATTTCAAATTCTCAACAGACTGACACAGGGCATGTAGCATATCAATCGACAGGTCTTTAGAAAGATAAATGATTGTTGAACTTATTAATAATTTTTTTAAATCGATAAATTGCTATTTTTTTTTAAAAAAAAAGGGTTTTGGTGGCTGCTGGTGTGGATTTATCATGTCCCTGTGGCTTGTAAACACGATAACTTTTGAAAATATCAATTGTTTAACTCAATCTATTTTTTAATCTCTTCATCTATCATGTGGGAAGCTACTGAATCTAAATGGCAGTGTAATTTTGTTTTGTTTAGCTATAATTAATTTTTTTCGGCTCCAAAATGGCGAAATTTTCGTTGATTTGGTAGTCTCGTATATAAATAATTTCTGTAAATGGGGAGCTACAGCACTTTTACACAGACTTCGAACGCAAACAGTCATCCGATCCGTTTGTCTCACTGCGATTACGTAAACTTTAAACTTGAAATCTGAAATTTGAAATTTTAAACTTTAAATTTTAAACTTTAATCTTTAAACATAAAATTAAAAATTCATTTTTTTTAAAGTAAAGGTTACGTTCTGACGTCCGTTTCGTATTAGTAAAAATCATTTAGTTAACCCGGTATTCGAAACTGTTAATTCAGTGGAGAATTTCGTTAATTCATCACGTCGCGTTAATCAAAAAATAGACTCGGGTTTTTACTAATTTAAATTCCTCTTTGCGTGCTAGGCGATTATAGACCGAATCTCGCTCCACCTAGAGTAGGTTTAGGCCGGCTGCCGTCGAGTCAGGCGACCGTTAGGCTAGCCCTTCGGGGCCTCGCGCTTACATTCCTTCACAAGGTCGTGCGCCTTTTAAAACAGTTTTAATTTAATTCTTTAAGCGATTTTAAGCGGGAAGTGATTAAATGTGAAAATAGTCATTTCTACGCGGTTTTCTCGGGTAAGTTTATACACAATCACCTTAGGGAGAATACAAACGGCCAGGACTTAGTAAAACTAAGTGACCGCCTAAATTTCGATATAATAGCCCCTCAGGAGGACACTAGCTATTCAACAAACCAATATCGTAGTTTGTCCAAAATCAACTTAGCACTCTTCAGGAACGTAACCTTAACGTTACGCTCCACAGAAGTGGTGCATGAGTTGACATCGGATCACCGCCCGGTCATAATGTCGTTAGGACAATCCAGCAGCGAGGTTCCTCTAACCAAAACTGATACGGACTGGCATAGGTTCGAGGCTAACCTCGAAACTATGAACTCAGAATACTTAGACCAAGTGCCAGATGTAATTGACACCAAAGAGGTGGCCTTAGAAGCCATCTCTCACATCACCTCTCATATGAACGATTTGAAAAATTCAAGAAAATCAAAAACATGCGACTAAGCTGATTGCTTCGCCACTTTGCTATGCTGTTAGCTTGCTAGGTTTATTGTTATTATTATTACCTAAAAGATAAACATGTTCAGTAAGTTCACTGCAAATCTCGACTTTTACAAGTGTGTGTTTTTAAAACACAAAGTGCTCGAATATGTCGTCACACATTTGATAAATATGGTTGACACCATAGCACTTTTTAAAACACTTGAAATGTGTAAAAATGGATCTGGATCTTATCTTCAAGGCTTAGTTATTAAGGAGTTGGAGGGGTACCTAGGTAAACCCAGAGCCGTCATCTCGGAAGACATTTTAGACTGTTGGAGGACGCATGAGACAAAATATCCGATTTTATCGAAGATGACCCGTGATTTTCTTTTAATACTTGCAACTTCAGTACCTGCTGAGAGATTATTTTCTAAAGCATCATTAGTAATTAGAAAACATAGAAATAGTTTAAGTGATGAGTCAGCCAGATGGTTACTTTGTATTAATGCTTTGTCAAAAGAATAAATATAAAGTAACAGTAATGTCAAAGCTGTTGTGTACATACTGTGAAGTAATTTAATTTGCATCCTATTTTATTTTTTATTTAAATAAATTGCATATTGTATAACTCTTTTATTCCATTTCATATATGGTGAGGGTCCATCAATCTCTTTCTAGAGAGATAATGTTATTTAAAATACAGTGTAGTTATTGCCATTAATTTGTTTTTATATGTATGTTTAACCATGTTTTAGCACATGTAAGCTTATTAAATGTAAACGTTTATTAAGAAACTGACGCCCGTGGCCGTGGGACACGGTAGATAGCTCAGTTGGTTAGAGCATTGGCACGGATCGCTTAGGTCGTAGGTTCAAACCCCACCCGGTGTCAGTTGATTTTTCGAATTTCTCATTAAATGTTTAGACATTTATTAATATGGTTGGTCTTTACTATGGCTATGTTAATTCAAGCTCAATATGTACCTACTCTGTTAAGTGTTTCTAAGATCTAAAGTAACGTTTAATAAATAGTAATAGGCTAATAGATCATTGCGAGACTTGCGAGACTCTTGCTGCAAGACCAAGACCAAGACTGGGGGCGCAATACCAAGACCAAGACCAGGTGTATTGGCGCAAGACCAAGACCAAGACTTGCTAAGTCTCGTCTTGTTCTTGCATTTGGGCAACACTAATTGTCCATTGGGTATAGAGGAGGAAGGAGTAATAATATGTAACTTTATCATAACCTACTAAAGATTGCACTGGGATAGATTTGGCTTTATAGATGGTTTTCCTATAGAATTGGGAAGGAGATGGAAAAGTAGGAAGGTTTATAGGTGCCTAAGTAGTGGGGAGATGGCTTGCAGGAACTTGTGAAGATGCAACATCAGAATAAGGTCTTCTGCCAGCTGGAAAACGAGTAGAAGCCTCAAGGCATACCTTGAGGCTTCTGCTCGTGTCATAACACATTCTCTTGCGACATTACTATTTTGATAGGTTTTTGCCTTGAGTGCTCTGGGCAACTTTTTTCAATGGCCGAATGATTTGAGAGCAGAAAAGACAGGTTCGGGAATCTGTGGGACAATTTTCTCTAGTATGCTCTTTACTGCATTTAAAGCAACATGGTTTAGATCGACATTGAGCTTTGACATGACCGAAACGGCAGCATTTTAGACATTGGATGGTGGGCAGCAGATAAGTTTCTACAGGTATTGAAGCATAAAAGTAGTATATGTGAGAGGGGAGCACTTGTCCTGAGAAGGTAAGGACAACAGTTTGAGTAGAGACCGACTTGACTTCATCGTCCTTCTTAACCTTTTTATTAAGTCTTCTGGCTTTAATGATTTCCCCTCTGCCAGGAGGGAGCTCAGATTCACAAACTAATTCCTCGATTGAGATGTCAGTTGGGATACCCCTAGTGACTCCCATTCAAGTAACATTAAAAGTTGGAATGACAGCAGAAAGTTCATTTTGCGAAAGAAACTGAGAGTCAATAAAATTGTTAGCATTAGTAGCTGTTTTAAAAGCAATTATAACTGTTGCGCTCTAAGATTTTGATGCCCTGTTTTTCAATATTGGCTACTTTATTTTGTGAGACCATATGGCCAATTTTCACAGGTCTAATTGTATAACCTGCTGATGGATCAGGTTCTGAACGACTTAAATGAATAACGAAACGGCCTTTATCGTTATCTACATACTTTTTTTCTTGGAAGTCAGGGTGGACGAATGTATTTTGATAGGAGGCCGAACGGTGATCTTCATGCCCTTTATTTTTCTTTGGAAAGCTCTTTTGACAGATCTAGAATCACTGCATAAATCCGGTGGTTCAGCGTCTCCCCCGTCAACATCTATCGTCGTCACAAAGATCTACATTAACTATCTAAACAAATAATACCACTCAGACAACACAAAGAAAATTGAGAAGGTTTACGCAAATTTGAATCGGAAGGGAAATCGGTTTATATTTATTCAATATAGCGTTGTCGTTGTTTAGCCTCACTACACAATTTATTCCTGGTTTCAGCTGGGATTCGAACCCAGGGCAGAATAGCCAAGTACTTTGATCGTCATAGTCAATCTGGTTTATGTTAAAAATTACAATGTATTTAAAAGCAACAATAATGAGTTTTAATGATAACTATCCATGCTTATAATAAATTACTTTAATGTTGTTATTTACTCACCAGTAAACATGAAATAAGTTGATAATAAATTAATAAATAATAATGCTAGAAAAACCGTGCGGTGACGGTGACCCTTTTACTTTTAAAAAATTTGACCTTGATCTTGAGTAGCGCTAAAAATTTATATTTTACAGGGGTCGTATAATAATCACTTATCAAGATGCAACACACAAGCCTCCGAAATTTCCAAACAACTTGGTGAGGTAAACAAAAAGAATTTTTTATGTGACATCTGTGGCAAAACAGCTAGATCCAATGCAAATCTCTTAGTTCATATGTATGTACATTTCTTGAAGGAATAAAGATTTTTATAAATAAAACAAATTTTTTGATAAAGAGATTTTTCCAGGGCTACCCACGAAAATGTATTTCCTTTCAAATGTGACGCATGTCCTTATCAAGGTCGTACAATGGATTTATTAAAGGTTCATAAGAGAACACATTTAATTGACAAACCTTATAAATGTGCGCACTGTCCGAAAGCGACGACTACGTCAAGCAATCTGGCGAAACATATGCGGCATGTACATAGCAGTAACAGGCCTTTCAAGGTATTACATTGTGTATTTGTAAGTATGAAGGATATTTTTGTTATGAACTACACGTACCTAAATTTTGGGAGTATTATATTTTAGTAGGTAACCGAGGTGAGCGACCGTGCTTTGCTCGACCGACGTCCGGTATGTACATAAATTATTAGAGCTGTTTACGAGAAACTAGTCCATAAATAATTATCTCGCTAAAGTATAGGCTTCTGAAAAATATGCTCGCTAAAGTATAGGCTTTCGAAATCAAGGCAAAATTTTCGACAGCCTATTATTATACAAAACATTCATTAATGGTATTTGGTTGTCATTGTTACCCAATTATGCGTTTTTAATTGTTGCTTTGGAACAATGCTTCAAGCGTTTCTTTGCGTTTAGACAAATACAATTCCGTGAATAAGCAAAAAATAATTCTGAAATATACCCTTTATAATTTTTTTCTATCGTAACTGATAGAACTGTGGCTGCTACAAATACGAGACGCGGCATCAATTAATATGGTCTGTACCAATCATTTTCAAATTTAAATCGGTTAAGTAATCCAACGGTCCTAATTACTTTTATTAAACTTTCGTATCCGCTGTTGGACATTAATTCCAAAAGCTCCACGCTGCAATTTTATTAAGTCTGCAATACCAATCAAGTCGACTGGGTCAGACCAGGAATGGACTACACTCGTACAAAATACCAGTTATTTGAGTGACAAGAACCGGTAACACTTTTTATTGCTAACTACCTGTACCCCGCGACTTCGCTCGCGTGTAATTTAGGGTTTTAATTATATTTCTCAGAACCCTAATTCTTTTTCTCAAATATAAGTAGCCTAAGTTACTCCTTAGAACATCAGCTATTAGCCAGTGAAAGTCCCGTCGAAATCGGTCCAGTCGTGTCGGAGATTAGCCGGAACAAACAGACGGACAGACAGACAAAATTTGTAAGGGTGATAACCCATCTGTATATTGATTCTTAATCGAGGATAGATGTGGATGCCCATGGGCCACAAAATCCACTTAACGTATGTCACCTTTATTTCTATAAAATAAATACCATGCTGGACATGCTTCCCATCGCCCAATCTTTAGGATTAGAGTTGGACATATTTGGGTGAATTTTCTCGCGCTATCCGGTCGGTTAACTGAGCATCATTTACTAGTTACCAGGATGCATCGCGTGAAGACGATATCAGTTTTTGGAGAAAAACACGGAATACCTATTGACCTTGCTATGTAAAAAAAAAACATACTCGTAGTCCCCAGGCTGATTTTTGTTAGACTTTATTCATAATTTCAAGTTACGATTTATCACATACTTCGCGGTGAAAGTTAACAGAAGTGGAAAACCTATATCTAAGAAAAAAAAAATGTTTCGTGTACATGTGAAGCCCGCCAATGCGCATTGCAGCAACGCGGTGGACTAACTGCTCCATTAACCCTCTCAGAAACAGTTTTAGTAAACCCATAGCATATAAATATGGCTGGCCATAAAGCTCGAGGAACCGACAACCGCTGGGGAAGCAAGGTTCTCGAGTGGCAGCCTCGTACCGGTAGGCGAAGTGTTAGGCGGCCCCCCACTAGATGGGAGTGACGACCTGGTAAGACATGCAGGAAGTCGATAGATGCAGGTGGCTCAGATCCGTGCTTTGTGACATTCTTTGAGGAAGGCTTTTTCAGCAGTGGACTTGTGAAGGGATGCAATCATGATGATGATGATAGCATATAAATAATATAAACAATGTTTCATTTCTTAATCAACCTATAATTTTTTTCAGTGCACTTACTGTGAAAAAGCATTTTCTTATCAGCATGACGTAAAGAGACATGTTAGAGACATTCATTTGAGACAAGGCACCGTGGAATGTGATATTTGCCTCAAAAAATTTAACACGAAGTAAGTGACCTTAACAATCATGCATGCTTTTAAGCAGCTTATGTTTATTTTTGTGGTACAAGATACAAGTTATTAACCAAATAAGTAAAAATCTTGTAAATTGATAACGATTAGATAGACTTTTTAATTTACTATCCTTTATAAAATTTACTCTATCATCTTATCATAGCTTTGTTTAAAAGCCTAATGCTAAACGTAGGTTCTTATTATTATGGTTGTAGCCAGCCTTAAGTTAAATGTTGTCCTAAGCCTAACCCGATTAGGCATCCTTATTATTTATTAAGAAAATGTTAAACATCTTAAAATCCTAAAATAATCGGGAAGTTATAGTTGGCCCTACGATTTACCCCTGTGGTAGGGCTTAATGAAACACACACAATTAAACGAGATATTTTTACGTTAAGCTAGTTCCCCTAAGGGACTATTTTTTAATCAACAGATAATAGTTATACATAAGATAAAATATAACATAAACAAATTAATTTTTACAGTCGTATGCACAAAATAGTTCATTTATTTAAATTTTATATTCAGTCGGTATAAAATGTATTACACAGATAACTTTTATTTGACGATTAAAATAAAGAGACATTAAAACAATAATTTTTAATAAAATATTTATTTATAATTTAAATATTTTTAAACGTTTCGTTACAGAAAAATTTTACAAGGTCATCGCTGGAAAATCCATAAAATTAAAGGAGAAAAACATGGTCGTCTACCGTCATATTTGCAATGCAGAAATGATAATGACAACGCAATAAAATTTGGGAGCGCTTACTAAACCGAATTACCGTATTGGAATTTGGTACCTACTATATAATATGGCTTTTCAGTGATTACAATTTATCTACATTGATTCAAAGTATTTTTATGGAACAGTTGGAAGATAAACATGAATTAATTTTACATCACTATCTACAGAAATAAACATTTTACATTCGAATATTACCCTCATAAACAATCATAAGTTTTATTACAACTTTAATTAGTTTGAATACTTCATTTATTCTTATCTAACCGTTTTATACAGGACAATAGCATCTCGTTAAAAATAATGGAGACCCATTAAGATGATTGCACTGTGTTTATAAAGCATTTTTTTAAAAGATCTCTTGGAGTGCATAAGTTTACTTAGTAAAGAATTCATACATTGTTGTAAAAATGAAATTATTTATCTTTTTACTGTTTGCTCAAAAATGTGTTGCTTTCGACATCCCTAGTTCGATTTGCAAATCAGATTTGAACATAGACAACAACCATTATAATATATCAACCACTTACCACATTGATGATGCATATCCAACTGACGCACACTACGATGAACGTGGAAACCTATTTTTTGTTGAAGCTGGCCAAAATTCAAATGGGTATAATTTTAATGCAAAGATAATCGAACATAACTCAACGACACCGCAAAAAATTCCTGGTAAGAATATATTTTTATATTATTTGTAGGAGTTATTATTACGTAAAACTAGTAAAATATAAAAATCTCGTTAGTATATTCGTGGTCTGGGCAGTCACAGGCAGGGAAAGACGTGTGACGCATATTCATAGTTTAGCCTAACGCTGTTAGAACTCTATTCTCTATTCAGGCGCTGGGCGATCCCCAAACTATCAAGCATGGCCATTTCGCCAAACCAAAAACTGGAAAGCATAGCGGACATACTAAATGGGTTAATTTTGTGTAGTGTGTGAGAAACGGGATCTAATATTCCTTGTTCCACCATGTGTCGAATTCCCAGATATTTCACTATTCTCTAACCCCAATTTTACGATAACTAAGAGCCAAGGTAAATCTATATAAAATATTTGAAAATACTATAATAATTGCTAAAAATTCATTAATGTATATTAAATTGCATTTATGTAATAGAGACTATCCCCATGTTACAATTTATACTCATGGCATGTAATTATAAAAAAGTAAATTTAAAATAAAGGCCAGCATGATGCTTCTCCTCGTCTAGGGACACTACCGTAAACACGAAAACCAGCTCTCTCATCCTTTCAAACTCTGATATATCGGACTCCAACCTTGGTTTACGCCGTGTTAAAATTCAGGCCGAGTGTTAATTTTTATTTAAGCGATAAGGGCGATATTGACGTAGCATAAATGAGTCAATTTAAAATCGGTGGCAGAAAATGTGACTGTAAATTTCGAAAACTAAAGAAAATAAAATTCTGTTTAACTTAGTTGTATAGGTATTTATGCTATGTAGATATCATTGTTAAATGCAATATCGTGGTTGGGCGCGATGTCTTGCCACTATTTTTGGATTTTCAAGTAATTTACTAGTGCAGGGTAAAAAAAATTACAACTCTGTTACCATCATATATTTATTCATATTTAAACAACAAACAATTATTTTTAGAAACATTCTTTGTTATGAACATTAATTAAGTCTTTACTCTCATGTTCAACATGTAAAATTACAATAGTTCTTCTTAAGTAGGAACAGTAATGGAAGTTAAGTATACTCTGTTATTTCCTTTGTTTTAATTATCAAATTTTCACTATAAACTATGTAAATTGAATTAAATTATTAAAATATAATGATAATGTTGTGTATAAATGAGAATATTAAATAATTAATAAACAATGTATAGAGTCAGGTGTCAGCTTTTCATAAAATTCGAGACATTACTCTTATATATTTAGGGACACAAAAGTAATAAAGTTGTAGGAACAATAACATAGTTGTACTATTCGCAACGAATTTATGAACTATTATCACAAAAAAACAATATTTTTGGCTATGAAATGTTTTAAGAAGTTTAGGAACTTAATTAGATTATTAAACTTATGGGGAAAAAAGCTAAAAACTCTTATTGAGATCAAATTAAACCTAAGCTGATAACTTATTTTTCAAATATCTCAGTGGAGTATGGAACTGGTAATATACCCTTTTGCCTTTATTTACTTTTTAGGTACTGAAATAACTCTTATGAAACTCTCATATTGTTCATATGATACATAATTTTAAACTAATTTGTATGTTTTTCCAGTATCGACAACAGAATTTAAAAAGACAATTTTTACTTCACCATCATCGTCTACTTCGCTTAATGCTTTGCCTAGATAAACATACTCACTTTCAAAATTGTATACTTTAACTAAGACCTAGACTCCTTCTTTGATTTTACATGGATGAATATTTTCTTTATGAATCAAGTAATTCTCATCATTTTTTTCTTCAGACAAGCAGGGTTGATCTGATGCCTTATCTTTTAATCGTAGCAAAGGATTATCATCATCGGATTCCGAACTCGAAGTGTAAATTACATTGTAAAAAGATTTCCTTTTCTGTTCAATCAAATTACTTATCCGCTAGAGTAGTAGAATTACTCCTTTGATTCTTCGACTGTATCCTTTAGTGGACAATAATTTTTTGGATTCATTCATGAGGAGAAACCACGCTAGCAGAAACAGCTCAACTCTCGATATTTCAGCGCTCCCACTTCTTCTGTAATACACTAGTAGTACACTTGATGTACTTTCATAGTACCATAGAAACGAACAATTTTTGCTGGAATTTCATTCGCGATTCTTTCAATATCATAATCATTTCAAGATTGACCTTAACTCTACTACTATCTTTCAGAGACTGATAGAACGAAGACGCTATCAGAATGTCTTTCCCAACTGCATCAAGCTGGTCAGCAGTCCGTTTTAGAAAGCTACCAACACCAACAGCTGCTCCTTTGCCGTGTCCCGACTCGAAAAAATTCCATGTAGCTTTGGTGAAGTTGTACTTTGAGAAAAGTTTTGTGCATATTAAGCAGAAGTTTTGATTCTGGCGGTACTAAGTAGCGGGTCATCTGAAAATATGTGTATCACTTTTATCTTAGGGGATTGGTCTTGAATTGAGGAAAGTATAGGATGAAGGTGACTCCAGATTGCCGAAGGGCCGTGAGAGAGGTTACCTGATACTGTACAAGAAGACTTCACCTCTATGTTTCGATTTTCCAAGCGTCGCTTATACAATACGCCAATATGTAAGGATACCTGGTTACGAGTATCACGAAAGTAGTGTGATTGTATCACTTCATGGAAATTGCAATTGTAATTTTCGCTGAAATCTACGTGTAGCGCTATTTCTTCTTCTGTCAATCCATCTATACAAGTGCTGTAGTTTCTATACTGAGTTGAGTCATGTCTTTTATTAAGCGTTTCTTTTTATGATATCTCTCTAAATCCTTCTTCTTAGCTTCCGCTACCTCTTCAGGGTTTTGTTTGCACTTTTCTTTATAGCGCCGCTGCTTTTCAGCAGCGGTGAGAGCCATAGCGAAGTACTATGTATTATCTAGAACAAATGATGTAATTTATTAGATAGCTATTATATAATATTGATTCCTAGTAACATAGAAGCAGAGATACGGATACACACACGCCAACGATGGCTTGTAACAGCTTAGTAATAACAACTCTTTTACCTCTCTACAACTCTGTTACCAGTAGCTAGTAACATAGTTGTGCAGTAACAGAATGGTAAATTTAACTTTAGTGACATTTTTTTTAGAAATGAAAGTTTATTATGTACAAAGAAAAGCACATTCGATATATCTTACACTAGAGCTACTTCAATAATATAAAACTGTACGGAAATATCTGAATACTTACGCGAAAACACCGGTAACAGAGTACACACAGAATAAAACCACGAGCCTCACACCGCAGTCATCGGATAAATGAATCATGTACCCGCGCCTCAACCGCCGCAAACCGTATGGATAGAACAGTAGATATTTATGATGAAACAATTGCCAAAGAATGGATAGCGCCATCTCTTGGTATTTATCCGGTTTACTCAAAGATATTTTATAGGTCCAGATACCGTGTACGCGCAACTAAAACGCTTCCATTTCAAAGGCGCCAATATTGGCGTATTCGTTCGATCGTTCCGCCATTACGCCAGCGACGTTCGCTGTGAACATACGTCACGCACCGGTGTTTTTAAGTTCGCAAAATGACTGTTTGTGATGTGAAATCATTTAAAAATTACTCTTGGAAAAAAGATAAGGATAAGAACATCACTTTTCATAAGTAACTATACAATTCTATGGTGTATTTCTTTGTAAAAGAATACGAAAGCTAAATGTCAATACAAGTAATAATACTGCGCAATAATATTCGAGTGTTGCCTAGTCTATGAAATGTTTTTACCATTTTTTAATGTCATGATCAACCACAAAGGTTATCTGTATAGGGGTTTTAAACAGTCTAATTTTACACATTTTACCCAACCTATAGAGTTAAACCGTTTTAAGGGTTAGGGTCGAACTACATCTCGCAGCATGAAATTGCACTTTCCTGTGCTTCTATCCTTTTTGGTCACTCAGAACCGTTATAGTGTAACCGGTACAGTTCCACCCTCAAAAAGCCGATTGTAAACCGGTTTTAAAAGTTTATCTATCATTCTTGACAATTCATACTACTATAATATTATAAATGTGAGTGTGATTTTTTTGTTTATTTGTTTTTGTCCTTCCTTCACGCAGCAACGGAACGGAGCAATTTAAAAAAAATAAACATTTTGCTATCTCTTGGCTGAAGTTTACGCTTAACCAAACTTACTTTTTTTCGTCATTTTACTTAGGATTGAAAAATAATTTAATGTCTTCGTAAAAAGTGTCAATATTTTGTGTTCTACAGTACAAAAGTGTAGTACTCTGTATATATTTAGTAATAATAGATTATAAATATATGTTACATACATATATATCTACTATGCTTTTTTATTTATTTTAACTGTTACATTAATTATAGGTTTTTTACATATCTTCAATATTTTAGTGCGATGTTCGTACCTAGATAAAACACACATAAGCAACCATATCCCCATACACACACACACACACAAATGCACACGCCACGCACACACATTTTATACTCTTAGAATCAATAGGTACGTCAATAGGAATGAAATATAAAATCTCCCACATTTTTTGGGTAATCGATTCGCACTGTTATTACCGAAGTCACGCACATTAATGCAACCATGGTGCGTAAGATATGCGCGTCACGTGGTACTTACGCACACATGAATCAAAGACTGTCTTCATTATGAACGTTGCGGTGTGTTAGCAACACGGTATCTGGACCTATAAAAGATCTTTGGGTTTACTATAGTAACAGAATGTAGCTCTAATATTTTAGACCTTGGGACAAAATTTAAAATAATCGTACAAGCTTCAATTAATTTATTTAATATGGATGAAGTATGTTTTTAAATGTGTTATGATTGCTTTACTACACTAGCTTTCAAACATAACAATTACATTGAATTGATAAAAAGATATTATGATTTTCGCATGATGCACTGCATATGGGACAGAATTTTTTTGTATGGAAAACAACTATGTTACCAAGAATGACCACTCTGTTACTTGATAAAAGTGGTGATAAATCAATAATAAAATTCATTTTTCTTGAGAATAAGCTTAGTAATTCGCCCCATATTTGACAAATTCAATAACATTTTAACAATTAAATTAATATCACCGAGAAGAAAATATTTTAGCTCAGGGACGACTTTATCTGCAACCAATTTTAAATTGACCCAACTAATACGACGCGAACTACTGATATAAGGGAACAGTGTCCCTATTTACGCTAATGGTTTTTTTGGACAAATGACGCTAATAAAACCTATGATTAACAACCAGTTGGACTGAATATTAAGTCCGCCATTTGTACTATTTTTCTACCGAATTCAAACAGGAGGAGGTACTCAATTCGACTGTATGTTTTTTTTATATGATAGGGTGACAAACGGTCACACAGTCCACCTGATGGTAAGTGGTTGCTGTGACCCATAAACATCCACATCCACATCTGTCCTCAATAAAGAATCAAAATGCAAATATGTTGTCACCCGTGAGGACTACGATGGAATGCCTCTTTTCCAGTAAAAAGGGTCTCCGGGTCTACACTCACCATACGAAACACAGCGGTGTTAAGCTGCTATTTTACGCTGGTATTCTGTGAGAGCGTAGTCCTTCCACGGTCGAGCCCACCCATTTGTGCTACAACTATACTACTAATATAGCTGAAGCATTGCTCCACCACGTAAAAAAACGTTTTTCATGTGTGTTACCTCATAACTTTTTTCTGGGTGAACCTATTTCGATGATTCTTTTTTATTTAGCAGCTGGTACTTCACATGCGGTCCCATATAAATTTCAAGGTATAAGCAATACTTTTGGAGTTATTCTTAATAATTTATCAGTTGGAAGTCGATTGTACAAAATTTCTAAACTCAAATAAAAAACTAATCATTGAAATCGGTTCACCAAAAAGTTATGAGGTAACATAAAAAAAAGCAGTCGAATTGAATACCTCCTCCTTTTTGAAGTCGGTAGAAAGAATAAGGTAACCCACTTGTTTTAGATTTTACCAATATATTACAAATGGTCAGGGGATGGTTGATAGATATACGATAACAACAGTGAAAACGCCCCCCCCCCCCATCGCGGCGGGGGCTTAGTAGTCGTAGCTTCATCACCTACCGTGAACGAATAAGAGAGCACGTATAGCTGGACGAAGGCGAAAAGCCAGTTCTAGATGGCTGCGCTGAGTTGACTTGGTGAGCCAATTTCGGATGCGTATTGTACTGTGGTGGAAGGGTGAGTCTTCCCCCCTGCCTGTCGCAGCTGCTGTCTTCGTGTATGATAAACTGGAGATTTTACAGGTAACAAGGCATTTCGTTTTAGTCCTCAGTGGGTGACAACGCAACTGCATTGTGGATTAAATGCGTCTGTACGTCCCAACATCCGCTTATCATCAGGTGGCCTGTGTGCTTATGTTTAAACTAGATTTAAGGCTCATTCATAACAATAATTTTATTATTCTTAAATATAATCCATTTCTTTTGTTATTAGGTCTTCCTAGTGGTATAACCTACTCAATTGCCATAGACAAAAATAATGGGAAAGTATATTTTAGCACGGGCGAAGGCATTTTTGCATATAACTATGATGCCCATAATGCCACATTAGTCTCAGAACCAAATACAAAATTTAACATGATATTTGTTGATAAAGAGGGTAATAAATATGTCACTGAAAATGTTGATGGAATTGAAGAAGTATACCTCCTGGTAGGTGAAAGCAAAATCCATTTTAAAAGTCTTGAAGCATTAGAAGAAATGGCTATAGACAGTAAAAACAACTTTTATTTTATTAAACAAGAAAAATTGTTTGTTTTAAAATCCACCCAATCATCTCCAACCCTAATTGGCAGTGTACCTTATGATGGAGTTGCACAGATATCATTTTACAATGAGCGAGTGTTTATAGCTAGCAAAAATTTCACTTATTTTCATGAAAATGATACAAAATTCATGCGAGTTATAGGAAATGTGACAGAAAAAGTTTCAGCCATTGCTTTTGACAATGATGGAAATTTCATTCTTGGAGTATGTGGAAAACTGTTACAATACAAGAAACATCAGTGTTAATAATGCACATGGAATATTTAAAAAGCATAATATTAAGTTTTTAATAAAAATCAATTTTATTACACAATTTTTTAATTTAAAAAAAATAAATTACCTAATTCAAAAGTAGCACAAAATTGCTTAGTTTGGTGGTATTCAGAGTGATAGTCAGCTAAAGAATTATTATTAACTTAAATTAAAAATGCCCAGCAGTGGGGACGTATATAGGCTAACTAAGTTTCCCTGTCTGCGAAACAAACACAATAGTTAAACAATGTTGAAATGTTCATATATGATTCATCGGACAGGGAAAGCGATAATTAATAACATATTTGTAAATTATACATCAAATAGCTATATTTTTAGTTTAAAGAAAATCTTAAAATTTTACCTTTTCTCAATGCTGTAAGTAACCAAAGGTTATTACAATCACAATGGGTTAATTATTGATACCACATTGCTTTTCCTTCTGTACATTATATAAAATGTTTTACATGAATGTAAGAGAAAAACTATACATTAAAGAAATGCATACATAACTTGTTTTATTTCTTACCAAGAAATGCCCTGATTTGTAATATTTGTGTTTGTGATTATTAAGTAACTTAATGATTACACAAAGTCTATGTAAGTATCTTGCAATTTAATTGATCACAAACTCAAACATAATTCCATTTATCAGCAAATATTTACCTCCGGCTATGAGAAATGTTTTACTTTAATGTGGCAAAATGCTCTGGGATATTATTGGAAATGTTATAGGCTGAGCCTGTGAATTTGACAGCGCCATTGGTTGACTTGTGTTGGAAATAGTTATTTGCTGTGAAGAGGTTTGATGCACTAATTGTTGTCCAGAGGGAACTAATTGTTGTTGTGCAGACTGTTGAGCTGCTAGTTGTTGTGCAGACTGCTGGGCCACCATTTGTTGAGCTGACTGCTGAGCTGCTGCTGCTAGTTGCTGTGCTGACTGTTGTGCAGCTGCAAGGTGCTGTGAAGCCTGTTGTGCTGCCAAATGCTGGGCTGATTGTTGAGCTGCTAAATGTTGTGCTGACTGCTGCACTGCTAAATGTTGAGCAGACTGTTGTGCTGCCAAATGTTGTACAGACTGCTGTGCTGCTGCAAATTGAGATGCTTGATGCTGTGGAGCCAATTGTGTCTGTAGTGCCGATTGTTGAACAAGTTGTTGAACAGCTGTCTGTGGTGCATTACTCATTAATTGCTGTGTGGGTGGTGCTAAAGTCAATTGGGCAGGTGTCACAGCAACAACAGTTTGTCCCCCACCCATTAGATTGCTAGAGTCACTCACTTGCATCAACTGTTGAGCACCTGCACTGGTTACAATCAATGCTCCAGAATTACCCATTAGTTGTTGAGTCGTACTTACAGTAAGTAATTGAGGTGCTGGTGTTAACAACTGTGCCCTAGATGCAGCTGGAGCTAATGTTAAATTAGGTGTTGCAGCAGCAGGAACTAATGTTGGTAAAGCCCCAGCTAAGCTTACTACTGGTGTTACACTTACAGTTGCCAGTGATACAGGAGCCGATGTACCATGTCTTGATGTAATTACACAAGGCTGATTGTTTCTAACGGAATTCTGCTCTAACAAAAATTCATTCATTGATGTAAGTTGAACATTTTTTTCAGTCAAGTCTGCAATTTTCTTTAATAATACACTTATGTTATCATGTAACAATTTAACCTTATGGTTTAAAGCTTCACAATTAGTACATATATTTGATGGTGACAAAACTTGCTTATCTATAACAGTCTCTTCAAAAGCAAAACGTCTAAATTTAGCCTCTGGAGGAGAGTCATCATCCCTGATGGGTGGTGGAGGACGACTAAAAGCAGGCAAAGGAGCGCTATGCACAGGAACTATTTCATTACCAGTCATGTCTGGATGAATAAACTTGCAATCTTGATTAGTGCATGTACCATGTAAGTAGTTTTGGCAGACAGGTACATTGCGTGGATCTCTCGGAAATATTCCAGTTGCATAAAAGTGTTCTTCTTCTTCAACAGAGCTATGTACAAATTTACAATTTCCTCTAAAACAGCCTTTGTTTTGAAAGTCGTGACAGAATCGAAACAACTCTTTTAAGCGAGCTTTTGGTGGAATTTCATGTATATATCTACAGTTTTCCCTGATACAACATCCCCTGATAAAATCTCTACAAAAGCTATTCGCGCTGGGAGTATAATTATCAATATCGTCTGAAACACTCATCGCACCGTCAGGACACGCTATGCCGTTACCAATCATGTTTTTTTTTTATCTAATTAGTCGTGTACACGATTTATATCTATTTCATTTTTCAATTACATTCACAAAAAGAAATTTTTAGCTCTACAATTATTCGTAAGCCCTTCATTTCTGTAGACATCATATTTTTAAACCGCTTTAGCTAAGCTAATAATTAAGCACAAATATAAATCACAACGTTCTTTAATCTTAAAGTTCTCTCATTAAATCTCAAATTATAGACAATTTGTATTTAAAACATATTGTGCTTTTATTTTGTAAAGTAGTTTTTTCTAATTTGTTGTACAGTAACAGTATCTTCAATCTTGATCACTGATTGATTTTGTTCATTCATAGATAAATAAATATGTAGCAAGCTAATTTTGTTTGAGAACTTAAAAATTACTGTACTCTGTAATAAATACCCATGATTACATACTTACTGTTACGAATATCTGTGATTTTGATTATCAGTTCATACTTAGTGTATTTGCTATGGTTCACACCATAGAGTGTCTGTCTGCTTAGGCGCCTTGAGATACTATTGCCAACTTTTGTAATGCGTAGATATTGAGCAGTTGCCTCCTTCCATTTGGAATATGTGGATCAGTCTCCCCACATAGTTGTTGTTTTTGCAATGTGTGCAATAGTTTGTGAGTGCCATGTCACACAGTCGTCGTTCCTTAAGAGAATGTGTGGTGAACTTTGGAAGTCCTGAATTGTATGGTTTGCAATACTTTTATCTTCTTCTTTCTTGTAATTTTGCGAAGCAGATTATTTACTTGTTTCATGCACCTGAAACGTTTTAAATCTGTTTCAATCTTAAATTACTTTTGATATCTATTTTGCTAGACCTGTGTTGGATGTACGTAAGTGCCGTTAAGTGTACGCTTGTGTATCTGATAGTTGTTTCAATGTACCTATTTTGCTTTTTACATTAAAATTCAATTTTTTGTACTTTTTGCAGTATAGAAAACTGCACCTTCCTTGAATATAGTTGCACCACCGTTAAAAATGCATTAAATGCAATGATAAGCTCAAATATTTACTAAAACCAAATTTGTTAAATGTCGATTGGGTGCATTTGACTGTTAACAAATTTTTACTTTTTGTTCTTATTATTGCATTTTATGCATTTCTAATGACGTGCAATTATATTCAAGCAAGGTGCAGTTTTTTTATATTGCACAAAGTACCCTATTCTAATTATTCTCTAATATTTGAAGTAATATCGACGTTATAATGTGAGCGATATTTAGCTATTTTTTATTTCTAAACTACATGGGTGCAGCTTAAATAATTAATATTTTTGAGATGCGCTATTTGAAATACGCCTGTCCGTATTTTATATATTAGGCTGGGGTAGGGGTGTATGTGCCAACTCGGAAAAATTACGTCTAGAGTTAAGTCGAGTTGATATGATAGCAGTCTTCACGAAACAATTTTATTAATAATATTTATTTCAACGGTGGTAGAGCCACGCAGCAGCTTTTGTTATTGCACGTATGGGCCGGCTCGAACCGGGTTCGTACCACGACCTCACAGAATACCGGCGTGAAGTGGAAATTCTGCTTCCGCGTATCGTCTGGTGAATGCAGGTGACCGGAGGCCCAATTCCCCCCCCCCCCCCCCATCAACATGGTAGCGGAATTACACAGTAGACTACCCCAGGAGGGTACCAGTACCCCTGGAGAATCCCTCGCTGAGCATCCACGACCATGTTATTCCAATCCTGAGCGTGGGTGCTCAGGCTGCCCCGCGTATTCTGGGGGGGGGGGGGGGAGGGCAAAATTCCGCTCAACACAATAACTGCTCGGGGCAAACTGAGCAACAAGACCAAGGCGACCCCTGCCACGCTATCCGTGAATTTCTGCAACATCAGGGGACTTCACTCAAACTTAAACGCCGTCCACTACCACTATCTCTCGAGACGGCGAAGCCGGCCTTGCTCTTTCTGGCCGAGACGCAGGTGTCCTCTCCGGCTGATACTTCGTATCTCTCCTACCCGGGGTACAAATTGGAGCACTCCTTTGTGCCTCGGGCAGGAGTTTGCGTGTATGTCAGAGAGGACATCTGTTCTCGACGCCTCAGCAGTTTTGAAGGTTCGGGCCTGTCCATCCTTTGGGTACGCGTAGATAGCGACGACCATCCGCGCGTCTACGTGTGCTTCTATAGGTCCCATAGCGGTAATGCCGAAACAGACCGACTCATCGACCACGTCCAAATGGCTACAGATTCCTTGCTACAACAGGTCCCATCCGCAGAGATCGTGATCCTTGGCGATTTTAACGCCCACCACGCCGAATGGCTCGGTTCACGTTTAACCGATCATGCGGGATCTGTTTATGACTTTGCCTTGGCATATGGTCTGACACAACTCCCGTGTGGAGTTGCCAGAGCTCCCATCGGGCGCGTCCCCAGGTGGCGGATAGGGGAACGCCACTCAGATATGGGTGGTAGCGGGAAACAGTCGCGGACCAAAACTGGCTGGGTGAGGGCTTGTTTGCATAGTGGAGGGCCTATTAGTTGCTTCCTGTATCCTCTCCCTTGAGAGGAACAGAGAATGTGACATGCGCGGTGAGGTGCCAGGTGCACTTGGCTTTTGCCGACGCCGGGCAACCCGTAATCGCGGGATTTTCAGGGACCACACCCTGTAAAAAAGGAAATTGAATGGGCTCAGTGTTCCCTAACCCGGTCTCTGGGCAGGCATGAGAAGAACCCGTATCGCCACCATTCGAACCTCGGAATCCCTCTGGCGTGTCGTGGATCACGTCTCGCGGCGCCTTAGGGGCCGAGGGCTCTTGGCTTAACCGCCTGGAGTCGCGAGGATGATAACCTCTTTAAAAATCACCCGAAGCTCAAGCGTGGCACGCCGTGAGGAGCTGCATGGCTGATGGGTAAATGTTCAGTCGTTAGCGTTGCCCCCGTCGGGGTACCGGCCGACACCCTTGACGGGTTACGCATAGGCTTATCCAGGCAAAGGAGGCGCTGCTCGGATGGACTGTTATTTCCTCCACACTCGTGGGATAAAAAATGGAAAGAGAAAAATATTTTAAAAAATCAGTAGAGGTAGAAAATCAGGCACGATCTGATACTGGAAGCGGCGGAAATCGATCGCGTGGGACGTCGGACGTCTTCCGCTAGGAAACGTCCAGTGTGCCGATCGTCAGACGAGGAATATCTGCCGGCCCCAAGTTGCCGACTTCGGGGAGGGGTCGGCAGGCATCGAGAGGGGCGAGTGCTTCGCAGCCGCGGAGGGATCGTGTGCTCTAATACCTCGGTGGCTAGTGAAGCAGATAGTGACATGGGGTTCACTACGGAGGACCCTGGCGATGGCGGTGAAAGCTGTGCCTCGCTGGGGAGCTCAAAGGCGGAGCTCAATGCCGCCAAGAGGGAGCAGCGCAAAGCCGTCGCGGCCGACGAAGTGTCGGAAATGGCCCGACGTGCGAAAGCAGCGACGAGCTGCTCTTGCGGCGGAAGGGGGAGAGCCATCTGCGGTGGCCTTAAGCCAGCTGGCTCTGGATGGGGTGGACTTAGTCCTGAAGGTTGCCACCAAGTCCGGTAGCCTGAAGGGCACGTTCACCCGTGGCTTAAAGGAGGCTGCCGCGGATATCAGGGAGGCGGTTGGCATCCTCCTCAACAGGACGGCCTCTGACGAGGTTGCAAAGTTACAGGAGGAAAACAGCCGCCTCAGAAATGACTTGGAGGACCTCCGGCGGCAAGTTGCTGCGCTAAGCGAGCAGCAGCAGCAACGCACGTCCAGCGATGCCGCACCTGTAGTGGACCCGACTCCCGGACCGCCACCGGCAAGCCCTCGTACCGACGAAGAGGTCGAGCGCATTGTCCGGCTCTGCATGCTCCAGTGCGGGAGCATGGTTAACGCTCGGCTGGAGGCAATTTCTCGGCGTCTCCCGGCGGAAATCCTCCGTCCGCCTTTAGCGGCTGACACGCGGAGGACTGAGGAGCCGCCGAGACTTGCGCCTCAAAAGGGGAAGCCCGCGCAGGGTAACAAAAAGCCGGCGGAGGGAGCTCCTCCGAGCAACCAGCCCACGACTGCCGGGTCTAAGGGTGAGACCTGGGCGAAAGTCGTGGGCTCGTGGGCTGCAAGAAGGCCCGCAAAGCCGCCAAGAAGGCCGCAGCAGCTGCATGTGCCCCAGGTGGAACCGCAAAGACGGCTCCTAAACCTGCACAGCGAACTGCCAAAGGCGGTCGCAAGAGACCGGCTGTACATGTTCCGCGGTCCAACGCTGTGACGCTAACGTTGCAGCCCGGAGCTGTGGAGTGTGGCGTGACGTACCAGTCGGTCATCGCCGAGGCCAAGGCCAAGATCAAATTATCTGATCTTGGCCTTCAGTCCGTCACCCTCAGGCAGGCTGCCACGGGTGCACGGCTGTTCGAGGTGGCTGGCACTGTGAGCGGCAGTGCCGAAAAGGCGGACGCACTGGCCGCCAAGATGAGGGAGGTCCTCAACCTTGAGGACGTCCGGGTCTCCAGACCAATGAAAACCGCAGAGGTGCGGATTGCTGGCCTGGACGACTCCGTGACCTCTGAGGAGGTTGTGGCGGCCGTTGCCAGAAGCGGAGAGTGTCCGCCGGACAAGGTGCGGGCTGGCGAAATACGCACCGACGCCAGCGGACTCGGCGCGGTCTGGGTTCGGTGCCCTGTAGCGTCGGCGAAGAAGATCGCCGATAGCGGCAGATTGCTGGTAGGCTGGGTGGCGGCAAGGACCAAGCTCTTACAGCCCCGGGCTTTGCAGTGATTTCGGTGCCTAGAAAAAGGGCACGTCCGGGCAAAGTGCACCGCCGAGGTTGACCGTAGTGACCTCTGTTATCGCTGCGGCTAGCCTGACCACAAGGCTGCCCTGTGCACCGCGGCGCTAAACTGCAGCCTTTGTTCTGCTGCGGGAAGGCCAGCGGAGCACAGAGTAGGCGGAGGGGCCTGTGGGGCACCTGCCAGCAAGGCAAAAAAGAAAAAAGTAAAGAAGAGGAGCACTAAGCCTGCCGAGTTAACCTAGCTGCCCC